GAATATTGCTAAGTTGTATCTAATGGGAAGAAGGGCACTAGGGTCGTGACACTACCTAGGTGGCTAATTGACGGGTAGATGTTACTAAGGTTCGATTGACATAATTGGGGCTTATGCTATAACCGTTGCACAATTTTACCCACTCTCACACCTCTCGGTAGAGAGAGTGATTTTGCCCAATTGACTCTCTCGAGACCAAATGGGTAGGCAAATTAGACCAAGCAACTAGGGTTCAAGTAGGGTAATTACTCTCTCGAGGTTTAACCCATTAATTGGGACTATCATTTCTCATGAGTCCATCCCAATTCCTTGTTGGGTCAATTTTAAGGTCATAGACTCTCTTTCTCAAGAAGAGTTAAACCCACAAAGCTTGAATCAGTGTTTGCAACCACCAATTCTAGATTTAAAACATAAAATCAACCCAAATAGCAAACATCCATAGTCAATCTAACATTAGATGGCAACACCCATCAATTACCCACACTAGGGTTGAGTCACAACCCTAGCTGATGGGTTTAGCTACTCATGCTTGAAGAAGAAAATAAAGAAATAGATGAAGAACTAAGCATATTAAGTAATTGCTAAAATTAAACTACAAGAATCTATTGTAAATGTAAAGCAAAAGTGCCAAAAATGGCTACAAAATTCGTTCTCACGAGCGCAACCCTTGTCTGATATATCTCATTACCTAAAAAATGGTAAAATGTTCTATTTATACTAGGCTAGAAAAACTGGACAAAATACCCCTGCGGGGTCAGTGCGGGCCGCACTAAATGGACCGCGGCCGCACTGGGCTCTTTGACTTTGATTGTGCTTCTCTGAACTTAGACTCCGCGGACCACGTAGAATGGACCGCGACCGCGGAGGGAGCTGGCGCGGTCCGTGCAATCACGACCGCGGGGCACATGGTGTTGGCTTGCAAACTTTCATCTCTCTGAATCTCACGGCCGCGGACCGCACAAAAGAGTAGTGCGGCCGCAGAGCCTTCACCGCGTACCGCGAGATGTGTACCGCGGCCGTGTTGCCTCTAGCTTGGTTTACCAACTCTCTGAACCACCTAGTGCGGCCGCATTCAACTTTGCACGGTCCGCACTACGCCTTTTTTCCTTAGATTTCTTGGTCTTTGATACTTGAGCAGGTTTCACTCCTTTTTGAGCCGATCTTTGACATTTCGTCACTTTGTCGATCAAACCTACAATCAAGTACAACTTGTGAGCTTTTAGGACTATTTTGTAACAATATATGATCAAAGCATAGGCAAGTAGGGGCTTAAAACATGTTAAAATCCTAACTTATCACCCTCCCCTCGGCGTGAAAAGCCTTGTACACATCAGGCCGAGCCTCAGCAAGGACCCATGAGACGTAGAAGGCTGAGAGCGTCGACTTGCATCCTCCACCCTCAACGAGGCCACTTGTCCATTCAACGAAGATAGCTCCGCCTACAGTTCTTTAACACGCCCTTCAAGCCCAGCGACCATGCGATTAGAGGCCTCCTTCTCTTCAGTCGGCTCAGACCTACAAACACGGAGGGCATTCTCCAAAGATACAGTTCTAGAAATAGCTGTCGCCAACTTATCAGCACCAACGTTCAGCTCGCTCTTAAGACCCTCAACCTCCACCGCCTTCGCACTCAATTCAGCGGTCAAACTGGACACCTTTGCTTGCAAGTCAGCATTCTCAGCCATCACCCCCTGCTCAACTCAAGCTCATCCTCCTTCAGCTTAAGGGAAGCCTCAAGTTCACTGTTACAGGCGACAACCTTCATGAGCTCCTCATCCCGCTCCCTCAGCTCTTCGATCTTACGCTCCAATTTATCCTCCCTCTATTTGAGCCCCTCACGAAACAACTGAAATTCAGGGTCCCGATTATAAATGTCGTCCATCGCGCGATGCTTAGTACGATACTGTTGATACTTGGATGACATCTTCTCATAGATGGCCGTCCTTTTCCTCTCCCGACGCTCTTGCTCGGTCTCCACGATGAGGGTATGGCACAAAGGAAAAGAAATTAGAAACAAAGTACAGGTCGACAATCGCCACACAAACCCAACAACGGAAAAGAAAGGAAAGGCACCTACCCGCAAAGCCATACCAGCGACGTTCTGAGACAACTCCATGTCGCTCATCGCCCTAAGAACCTCGTTTTCAGGAGCAACACATAGATGAGCTAAAATAGACGCCATTTGCTCACAGTTCAGCAACAAGTTGTAGTCCCCCGGGACGACTATGTGATGATTAGTCCCTTCCGCTCTGACCTCCACGTGAGTATGGCGACCTACGAACTTGTTGACATCCTCCGGGTCGACATCTGAACCTGAGTCGTCACCCTCGACACGATGACCTCCAACGTTAGACGATGTGCGGCCCTCGCCAGAGTGCACGGAGCCGGCTCCTGGGTAAACTCTTTCTGCTTGGGGAAATCTCCCCGATAAAATGGCGTCAGCCATAAATGTGGGTACGAGTGCCTCCTGCGATGCCCTGCTTCTATCAGCGTCCACGCCACGCCCTTCTCGAGTTCCATTCTCCTCCTTTTATCGATAACGACTCGTCCCCATTGGAGGATTCGTCCAAGAGGTGTGGGGCCGGCATTGAAGAGGCCTCCTTCCTCACGACCACGACCCGAGAGGGACCTTCTAATTGAACAGGTTGAGGATAACCCTCTCGAACAGATTCACTCAAAACAAACTGCATGTCCACGGCGACAATGGCCTGTCGGAACGCAGGAACTGGCGCCCTCCGCCTGAAAGCTCCTCGACCTGTCATCACAAAGGGTCGTATCAATAAACGACGTTATAGAGCCAATGAAGTGGTAGGAGAAACACTTACCAGATGGACCTTTAGGGCCATAACGCTTTACGAAGACGGGCCAATCTGGTTTCTGTTGCATGGAGAAAGACGGGCTACCCAATCCCTTATACCCGCAATGGGGCGAGGTGGACGTCACATAGCTGCAAACGAGAAGCAAACAAACTTTATAATAAATACAGACGAAGGAAGAGTAAAACAAGCGGCAACACTTACGAGTCTCATTCCATCGCTCCGGGAACCTGGCAGAGTCAGAAACGATGTGTTCAGTTTTGACGAAGAAGTACTTGTGCCAAAACTTGCGACTCGCCCGGTCGTCTGTTCCGACCACCAGCCTTTTGTGCCACGGTGCCTTAAGTGCACCATGGTACCCCTGTGGAAACTAGGGGAGAACATATGCAAAAGGTGATGGATGGAAACATCACATTCCGCCAACTCCGTATACTTGGTCAACTGCAGGAGTATCTTAAGCGTATACGGCGAAAGTTATGCCAGGCAAACCTGGTAGAATCTACAGAATTCTTCTGCTAATGGGAAGAGAGGAAAAGTATAGCCAATCACGAAAGGGTACTCATAGAAAGCGCAGTACCCAGGTCTGTGGACCTCTACAAAATCTCTCCCCGTCGTAACCATATCGACATGAGCGGGAATGCCATACTTTACGCGAAGAGCGTCAATGTGAACTTGCTTCGTCTCAGAGAGTACGGGGTCAAGAATAGGAGGGGGATCTTTGAGGAAGTCACTTCGAGACATAGGATGTCTCGGCAGTAACTCCTCCACCGTAGGAAGACTGTCACCCTCCTCTACCACCATATCTTCACCGCCCGAAGGGGACACCTAGGACAATGGGGCGGCTTCAGGAATCCCTTCGCGAGATCGGTGTTGCCTTGGCATGCTTTCGTTAAAAGGGAAAAGAGGTGTTGATACCGTAGAAGCAAGGGAGGAAGATGAAGTTGTGAACGAAGAATATGAGAAGAAGAAGTAGAAGATTGTCAGTGCTAGCTCGGGGAGATAAGGAGGGATATTCAGAGGTGAAATGGCCAAGAACTTTCGAAAAAACAAACCCTCTTCCTATTTATAGGATTGGGTGGCGCCAGAATCGAAGCGGAAGGTCACAGAGTGGCACCAGAATCGAAGCAACAAGCCATCAACTCCCGCTTCGAAAACACGCGTAATGATGATGCACGTGAAAATGACATCATTTCCCGGTAAAATGTATAACCTGGTATCTTGCCAAGCACGCCGACCGCCCACCATTGGCCAATGTCGTAACGCTTCGAAGGGTCAAATTTTCCCGTAGAAACGCATGGTGTCCGCTCATCGAGGACGCACCAAGTTGCAACCTCGACAAGCGGAGGGATTAACTGTATGGGTCCAAATTTGAACAACCACGATCGTCGACGAGTACAATGAAACGGCGATTTCCCCATAACCTGACGTTTTGCAGAGGACGACTTTGAGACAAACAAGAGATTGTACGACCCTTGTAATAATATAGGCCCGTTAGGGAATACTAAGAATATTCCTTTGAATATTCATTATAATCTGTCTTTTACAACTTAGAGGGGACTCACTCCCTATATATATAGCGAACCATAACTTTGTAAGGGGAAGATGAGCGATAATTCTACTTATGAACGAGAAGTGTTTTTGGAAGGATTTTACTGATTCACATCGATAGAGAAATCTTATTACCCATCTTCTCTTGACTTATCTTCCCATCTAGAGATTATTATACTGAGCTAAGATTTACCCCTTCAATTTTGATTTATTTGTTCAAAAAGTTTCGATATCTTTAGAACAAATTTCTTCCCTAACATGATAGTTTTAGGCAACCTTTTCTTAAGTACTCCGTTTGTTTACACAATAATAGCGACTGCTCAAACTAAAACTCAACCAGTCTCTGTTCCCTCATTTTCACGTCTCCTTGATTCATTCCCAATTTATTAGTTATTGCAATACCACACACCAGCAACAACTTGGCCGCCCGATGGCCCTAACCTTTTCTATGTTTAAACATTTCATTATGTCGTCATCTTTTATATAATTATTATAAATTTATAATAAAAAATCAAATAACAAATTGCCTCGACACTTCAATCAATTTACGACGATATGCCACTCACTGTCACAGAAATGATACGGTCACCGAGTTGGCGAGTTTGCTTTTCATAGGAAAATGATACGAATCGTAGCTGATTAAAACCTCCATTTCATTATTTAGCTCAATAACCAAATAAGGACTAAACGAAGAACAAATCAATTGCTAAGCCACAATCTTTCTGTTGCTATCTTTCAATAATCGAAACAGAAAACGAACATTGAAAAAAAATTATATCTTCAATAACAATCCACAGAGGGAGTTAAATTTTCAACACAACAAATTCACTTCAAATTATATAAATATATGAAAACATATTTTTCCGAGCTTCTCTCGCTATTTTGATGTTCGTTGTGCGTCTCTCCCTCTCTGAGACGAGAATAACAGCAGCAGAGTTATGGAGTTTGCAAATTCGGTTTCTCCGTAATTCATCATTTGAAATTTGACGATAAAGGTAAAAAGGATGCGTTTTTACGTGTTATCTTTTCTTTTAAACCTTAATGATTTTCGCTGCTTTGACGACCGGATTCTCCCTCGCGATCGCGTCTCGGCCGGCGGATTTGTAGTCGTAGCTACAGTCATGACGATCCGAGTACCGGTGTTCACCGCAGAACAATTCGCCGCACCGGCACCGGAATCCGGTCAACCCTACCTTCCTCCGACAACCGGAGCAACGATTCACCTCTCTCTTAGCCGGCGGTTCGCTTTCCTTCAGTTTATCCTCCTTTACCGTCAGATGTTGACTTGTTCTTTCCAGATCGGACTTCCTCTCCGGCGACGACCTCAACGAGCTAAATCGAGCCGATCTTTCAGATCTAGCCAATTTCTCAGCGAACTTGTGAGGAATGGTGACCGCCGACCCTGTCGGCGAGCTGGCGGAAGTTGAGGTAGCAGCGGTGGTGGCGTTGAAGCATTTTTGACACATATTATTGGTGGCTGGATTTCCGGTGACTCCACAATTATTGACGCAAAGCGTTATCGTTTCAGGTACGGCCTTGAACTCCGTCTCTTCTTTCTCCGTTCTCTGAGCCATTTTTTCCCCTTTTTTTTGTGTGCAAAATTAAATTAACAAACAACTCGATTTCCTTGCTTCAATATATAGAGAGAAAAAATATGAAACTTGTAGAGAGAGAAAAGGAGAGAGTGGTTTGTTGTTTGGTTGGAAGAAGAAATGGGAAAGAGGGGACGGGGAAAGCGAGGTTTTAAGGAGGAAGAGAGGTCGGTAATGGCGATTGAATAATGGCCTCATTGGATACGCGTATCAGGCAAATTGTGGCGTGGGGTAATGGATTGACGATAATGCCCCTGAGAATTTATGGGATAATTATGGGGAATTTGGTGGGTTGAGGCCTGAGGCTAAGGTGGTTCTAGATTAGGTCTGACGTGTTATTTACTTAATCGTCACCTTTGGGATATTTTTTTTTAAGTAAAAATAGTTCTTTTCTTTTTTCTTTTCTGTTTGTATTAAGGTGACCTCTTTAAAAAATGGGGGATATTTTTATACAGGCTGGACAAGGCATGGAAAAAGACTCTTTTTCTTAGAGTACAGCTTATAGATGTTCATTTTGCAAGCTTGAACTCCTGGCGTCCCCATCCCTTCCATCTCTCATAATTGAGGTAGATGCAAACATTTCTTGAAAAAACTTGATAGTTGAGTCACGGAAAATTTTAATTTGCGTCTCATACAACTGACACTAGTTATATGAAGCAATTTTTTTGTCTTACAATTTTGTGGACCAAGATTTCTGTAGACCCAGAAGTGTAAGATTGGGGTTCACAAATTTGTGAGACAAAAAAGAGTCTCATACAACTAGTGTAAGTTATATGAGAAACAAAATAAAACTTCTCGTTGAACCACAAATAAGAGTAATAAATATCACATCAGTTCTATCAATTATAAATTACTTTTTCTTTTTTGCTCCAGCCGAAACAGCTTATTTACCGCCCTTACAAACATCACAGCTTGTAATCCAAGATTATCAAGGAACAATACTAGACATCGAAATGCAAAAGATTTCCTTTTTTTGGCTATTGAGTTACTAGAAGTTGCAAACAGGCGGGGCGGGACGGGTATGGTTCGGATCGAAAACGGTAATGAAAAATAGATAAATTATTCGATTCGACTCATATTTAATACCGATAAAAAACGGGTTAATCGATGGATAATATGGTATTATCCATGACTTCTTGAATATGATCACTTTTGGGAGAATTCCTAGTCTCCCAAAAGGAACCCCCAATTTGAAGCTTTATAAATATAAAAGTTAAAACTCATTGGTTATCCATTTTCGAAAAGGTTTTTGTCCATATTTGACCCGTTTCGAAAAAGTTAATTATCCAACCCATTTTTAATGGATAATATGGGTGGTTAACTGCTTTCTTCTAACCATTTTGTCTCCAGAGTCTAAAAACAAAGTCTGAAGAAGAAGAAGAAGAAAAAAAGTGTAGACTGGCTAAAGTTTTTGAGAAATATATAGATTTGATATTTGAGCCGGCTAAAATTCTCCAGAAGAGGAAGGTTAATATAGCTTGTGTCCGGGAGACTAGGTGGGCAGGGTCGAAGGCGAGGAATGTGGACGGGTATAAGTTGTGGTACTCTGGAGTCGTAAGGGGTAAGAATGGAGTGGGTATCTTGGTGGATAGGGATCTTAGAGAGTCTGTGGTGGAGGTTAAGCGAGTGAACGATAGGCTAATGTTTATTAAGTTGGTGATTAGTGAGTGCACCTTCAATGTAGTTAGCGCTTACGCGCCGCAAACGGGCTTAGATGAGGAGGTTAAGTGGCGCTTTTTATTGGAGGGAATTTTAATGGTCATATTGGGTCAGCTGTTGGTAGTTATGGCGAGGTGAATGGCGGCTTTAGCCTTGGGGATAGGAATGGATGAGGTACTTCGCTGTTAGACTTCGCCAAGGCTTTCGAGCTGGTGATTACGAACTCGACTTTTCCGAAGAGGGAGGAGCATCTGGTTACTTTTCAAAGTTCGGCGGTGAAGACTCAGATTGATTATCTTCTCCTCAGAAGGTATGATAGAGGATTGTGCAAGGATTGCAAGGTTATCCCGGGAGAGACCCTCGCAACTCAGCATAGGCTCTTAGTGATGGACGTCGGCATTATGATGAAGAGGAAGAAGAGGTATGCTCGTGACCGACCGAGGATTAGATGGGGAGCTTTAACCAAGGATAAAACCTAGGAGTTGGATGGGAGGTTACCCGCTATGGGAGCTTGGAGGAGTAGTAGAGGCGCGAGCACTATGTGGCCAACGACAGCGAACTATGTGAGGGAGGCGGCAAGAGAGGTGCTGGGGATATCGAAGGGTTTTTCTAGCAGGAACCAAGGCGACTGGTGGTGGAATGACGTAGTCCAAGGTAAAGTGGAGGCGGATAAGGTAGCGTACACAAAGTTGGCAGGGAGCACAGGCGAGGAAGAGAGGAGAGCGAATAGAGAGAGGTATAAGGTGGCAAGGAAGGAGGCAAAGCTGGCGGTCACGGAGGCTAAGAATACAACGTTTGGCCGCCTATACGAGGAATTGGGGGAGAAAGGCGGGGACAGAAAGTTGTTTCGGCTGGCTAAAGCGAGGGAGAGGAAGGCCTGGGATCTTCATCAAGTAAGGTGCATCAAAGACGAGGATGGTAGAGTATTGATGAGAGAGTCCCAGATTAAGCAGAGATGACAGACGTACTTCTATGGTCTTCTAAACGAGGAGGGGGACCGGGATATAGCTCTAGGGGACTTGGGGCATTCAGAGAGTCCCCGAGATTTTAGGTATTGCAGGTGCATTAAGGTGGAGGAGGTCGTGGGGGCTTTGCGTAAGATGAGTAAGGGTAAAGTGACCGGGCCAGATGAAATTCCGGTTGAGTTTTGGAAGTATATGGGTAGAGCATGATTGGAGTGGCCGACTGGTTGTTTAATGTAATTTTTAGGATGAAGAGGATGCCGGAGGAGTGGAGGTCGAGTACAATGGTACCGTTGTACAAGAACAAAAGTGATATCCAGTGTTGTAACAATTATAGAGGTATCAAGTTACTTAGCCATACCATGAAAGTCTGGGAGAGGGTGGTGGAGGTGAGAGTGAGGAAGACGACGTCTATATCCGATAATCAGTTTGGGTTTATGCCGGGTCGCTCCACTACGGAAGCTATCCACTTATTAGGAGGTTGGTGGAACAATACAGGGATAAGAAGGATCTGCACATGGTGTTTATTGACTTGGAGAAAGCGTATGACAAGGTTCCTAGGGAGGTGCTCTGGAGATGTCTTGAGGCAAAAGGCGTGTTGATAGCCTACATAAGAGCGATCAAGGACATGTATGATGGAGCTAAGACTAAGGTTCGGACTATGGGAGGCGACTCGGAGCATTTCCCGGTTGTTATGGGATTACACCAAGGTTCTGCACTTAGCCCGTTCTTATTTGCCTTGGTGATGGATGCATTGACATACCATATTCAAGGGGATGTGCCATGGTGTATGTTATTTGCTGATGACATAGTTCTAATAGATGAGACGAGGGTCGGTGTTAACCAGAGATTGGAGGTTTGGAGACAGACCCTCGAGTTTAAGGGTTTCAAATTGAGCAGGTTTAAGACAGAGTACCTGGAGTGCAAGTTTAGCGCTGAGTCGAGGGAAGTAGGCATGGACGTGAGGCTTGGATCACAGGTATCCCCAAGAGAGATAGCTTCAAGTATCTTGGGTCGATGATCTAGGGGGATGGAGAGATCAACGAGGACGTCACTCACCATATAGGGGCGGGCTAGATGAAATGGAGGCTTGCATCTGGAGTCTTGTGTGACAAGAAAGTGTCACTGATACTCAAAGGTAAGTTTTATAGAGTTGTGGTCAGACCGGCCATGTTGTATGGGGTAGAGTGTTGGCCGGTTAAGAACTCTCATATCCAGAGAATGAAGGTAGCAGAGATGAGGATGTCGAGGTGGATGTGCGGGCACACTAGGATAGACAAGATTAGGAATGAAGATATTCGGAAGAAGGTGGGCGTGGCCCCTGTGGATGACAAGATGCGGGAAGCAAGGCTCAGATGGTCCGGGCACGTGCGGAGGAGAAGCCTTGATGCTCCAGTGAGGAGGTGTGAGCGGTTGGCCGTGGTGGGTACAAGAAGAGGTAGAGGGAGGCCTAAGAAGTATTGGGGAGAGGTGATCAGGCAGGACATAGTACGACTGCAGATTTCCAAGGACATGGCCCTTGACAGGAAGGTTTGGAGGTCAAGCATTAGGGTTGTAGGTTAGGGGGTAGTAGAGCTTTCCTTACTTCATATCGGGGTGAGGCAGGGTTGGATTAGGGTTAATCTTAGATGGCTTTCAGTTTATGTTGAATCAACACTATCCTTGTTGTTTATCTTAGCCCCGGGCCTTAGTTACTGGTTACTGTTATTGCATATCATTTATCTTTTGGTTGTTATGCTTCTGTTACTATTACGGTTTCTACTGGAGTTACTAATGAATTGTTTTTTTCTCTTTCTCTTTCTTTTTACTTCTCTGAGCCGAGGGTCTATCGGAAACAGCATCTCTGTCCTATTGGGGTAGGGGTAAGATTTGCGTACACATTACTTTTCCCAGACCCACTTTGTAGGATTTTACTGGGTAATTGTTGTTGTATATAGATTTGATATTTGATCGAAATATCATACAGATATAAAGGCGGAAATAACAGGGAAGCTTGCTGAAAGTTGTTGGAAACAATTTAGTTTCAATATTAATAGAGTAAGTTTGTGTGTTAATTCTAATTGTTTCCATCTAAGCTCTTAAGGTCCAAGTTAAAAAAACTAATGCTTTATTATTTTTAAATTTTATATATATAATAAATTTTATGCACATAAATTTGTTCAATCCGGTTCGATATTTTTTCTGTTTATTTATAAAAGTAAAATTTTTACCTAGGGTTACAGATGTTCGATATTTTTTCTGTTTATTTATAAAAGTAAAATTTTTACCTAGGGTTACAGATGTTCGATATTTTTTCTGTTTATTTATAAAAGTAAAAATTTTACCTAGGGTTACAGATACTAAAAAAAATAGAATAATCAGTTCGATAAGAAACTTAGTATTAGTTATTCCAACGAACTATTAATCTATTTTATTTCTGGTTTAAGAAAATAGTTTAAATTAAGTAACTTCATATAAGCTTGTGGTATAATATCTACCCATTTCTACTTTCTTTTTTATCATATGCGTGAGAAATAAAGTTTTGGTCACCAATAATGAGAGATGGAATAGTAAGTATACTCCTTCATGCTTAACTAGAGGTTTCGGAT